TCGAATTACATTCTACCCATAAAACCTAATAATAAAGAATATTTAAAGTGTTGTAAGAGCAATATTGTTATGTATTTCCTTAAGAATAAATTCACACTGGTCTACACTGAAAATATAAATAAAATCATTAAAAAACAAATGGCATTGTTCTGAATGGATATTCATTTACATAATTTGTGAGTTTATAAAATAAGGTTACATTTGCTATGCATCGAGCACAGATACTCAATTCCCATTAATTTAATGGGAGTTCTGACTCCCATTAAGTTTAATAGGAGTCATACAGCCAAATCCCCATGTACCTTGCTGAAAATTTACCTCCTAGTCTTCAACTAATCAAATGTACTGCAATGAACAAAAGTAGTCAATTTTGCTAGACTAAAAAACCTAAAACCCCTACCATAAGTCAATTCAGCACTATTATAAAAATGGGCATCTAGTTATTTCCAACAAGCAAAAGAACAGGGTATTATAATGCAGAGACAAATAAAAGCAGAAGTTTAGAAGTGCTTATCTCTAATGGAAAATATATTGCTTTTGCACGGTGATGTGACTACTTCGATTTTCCTTTTCCTTAAGAGTGTCAAGCATTTTTTTTATTATTTTTAAGTTCCTTTTCCATAGGACAGAATTATACCCAACCCTGACCAAAGGCATAAAAAAGAAATCTGAGACTACATAAACACTAACTTCAAGAAAGCAAATGGGTACTAACTTCTAAATCACAGGGAATCAAAGCATAATTTTTTTCTCAGTGATAGAGTCTTGCCTAGCATGCTTGAGGCCTGGCACTTGGCACCTGTTAATAGAACTGCTTGCTGTCCTCTCCCTTGCTCTTAACATGCTGTTTAGGTGATGAATATAAATTGATCAATTGCTTAAAAAACAAAAAAGGCATTATGTTCTAAACACTTAAATACATCAGTGAACAACAAAAAGTCCCTGTAATTATATAGCCAACATACTGTATAACTATGTATACATATGCACAATACAGATTTTATGTGTAAGTAAAAGAAAAGTTTTTTTAAAAAGTGCAGTATTGCGAATTGCTTAAATATTTTTAAAGTTTAACCATGGAGAATAGTTATCAATTCTTCCACCAAACTCAGACAGATTATTCTGAAGGAAATAATTTTCTGATTCACATTGAACCTTTGGATCTGCTTTTTCTTATACCAGGTACTGAAAATACTTTACAGACACATACCATATTTTAGCATGAGAACATCAATTCAAAAGACAATAGAAAATGTGCTTAGAGTAACTGTACATTAAGCACTGGCAAGATACTATATCTACCACTATGTTCTTAAATGTTCTTGATTTATATAAAATAAATACGTAAAGCCATACTGGCATATCTGCCATTTATATTAAGCATTATGTTTTTCTTTGAAATAAGTATAAGCAACAATGTCATTTGAGTTAATTAACAAAAATTTGGATTTATGAGATCTAATCACATACTCGTTGCATAAAAAGTTCAAACTGAAATCCATATTACTGTCTTTGCCGAGGAACCACTATTATTTGTAACTTGTCACTTGAGCAAGCCTTCATATGTCTGACTTAGGCTTGCCAGGGCTCCATTATATAGCATAATTTAATCCTCTAGGACACAAAGATTCAATTTACTTTCCTACTTACTGATACATGATTCCACAGTGGGATACTATGCTTACAAAAATTGGCCAAAATAATCAAAGCACACCAGGTTCTCAACTGAACTGATTTGTCAAGAGCTTGAGGTTAGCTCTCCAGGAACAAAATCAGTTCTAAGAAAAATTGGCAAAACATTTTTAAAAATCTGGCGTTAACAACAATATTCTGAATTTGCAAAATATTCATGCAAATGGACTGACAGACAACTAGAAGAGGAAATTATAAAAATTAAATCTTCTTAAAATTACCTTTCATTGTCATTATGTCTAAAATGCTTACTGATTTTCACTAATGTGCATAAGAGGGTTTGGGGGTTATAGCTCAGTGGTAGTATATAAAAGGCCATAAAAATGAAAATAGAGAAAAACACCCACAAGAATTACTACATATTTATAGGGTTTGCCTAAAAACAGATTAAGTGTTCTTTGAAAATTTGGAAGTATACTGCTCAAAGGTACAGACCTAAAACAAATTCAAAATGAGATATAGACTAAAATTATACCACAGAAAAATACAACCAAAACGGAAACACACAAAACTCAAAAAAGGCAGGCAGAAAGCATGGCTATTTTACTGTATTTTTTTTATTTAAATCTCAAATCAGCTGATATCAAAAATCTTAGTATCTGGTTTCAAGTGAAAAGTTGGAAGACTAGGAAAGCAGGTTAAATCCTGAAATGATACAACTAACTGTCCCCTGACAAACACTTTTCAATTTGTGGCAGCCTTCACCTGGCCTGCTGCTCTTTGGTTACTTTATCTGTTTCTTGGCCTCGGTAGGTGTCTGAGGTTACAACCCCAACATAAAGAACACCAGTTCATCAAGTAAGAACTGTGCTTCATACCATTTTGGAATCCCAATCACCTGACTCAATATAGTCACATTCAATAAATATAGGGTTGAAACTATAGAACACAATCTCATCTGAGTTTATAGGCAAGGGCCTAGAAACTAGTATGTACACATACGTACATACGTATGTACACATACGTACATACGTATGTACACACACACACAAAGACATACATTTCTTAAGATTTTAAAAGCTAACTTTCATGCTAGGGCTCAGAAGAAACTTAATGGCTGAAAAATTACATTTCTATCTTCTTTCCTATGCCTCTCATACCTAACTTTGATTGGTTTTCTCGACAGGTGTTCGAAGACCATTATCTGGTTTCTGGCAATAAAGGGCTATCATATCATGCAAAACTTTTCTAAGACAAACTCATGTGATGCTGGATCAATGTTCTAACAGTGTGCACTGGCTGTGTACACTCTCACAACTAGCAGTGTGAATTCATCCCAGGTTCTCTTTTACTGGTAGGAGGGAATTCCTTCAAAAGCAACACCCCCTAGCTTGATATGCCAAAAAATGAAATTTCTCTTAACAGGAGATATGAATCCTGACCTAATAGGTGACACTAGAAATAAAACTGCAGTATCTCATGAAAAAGCGACTGCTTGCTAGCTCCCCACCGAGCTAAACTACTGTGCCAGCAAAGTGGTCTCTATCTTGATTGGAAATTTTTTATTATTGAGCTAATGAGCCATTGGTCCACACCTGGAATCTTTTTTAAATGTATAAAAACATTCAAATATAACAGCAGGAACTAAGATAGTTTTATCCCCAAAAACCAGATGTAAAATTATAGACCATACATATGATTTTCATAATAATTCAAGCCTGAGATTCATATCGTTAAACTCAGTTTCTGCTTGTTTATCATTATACAGTATGATTCATTCAGATATTATTTTTAGATTTGATATATCTTCTATTCTAGAGCAAAGAGCAATGCCACCTAGAAATAAAATATTAACCCATTTGTAACTTTCAAGTGACCTGAATCTATGTGAACCATCTATATACTTCCTGAATATAGAAGATAAGAATATTTCTATGTTTTTTATTTAAATTACACCATTAAGTTCTAACAATACAGTAAATGGAGGAAACAGGGAAATTGGAAAGAATATGACAAACCTAAAGTTTAGGAAAAGTAATTCAAATAAAATCCTTTCAGCAAAATTAAAATGTCTAATATTTTGAAGCTTATTACAAAGAATGGAAAAGGCTTCTATTAGTTGATAATATGCTTCAATCTCCCTATCTCTCATTTTTTAATCGGTTTAAATAAGATTATTTAACAGTACACATAAATCTTAAAATTATAAACCATTTTAATACTATTTCTTTGGGACTAAAAAAATCCATGAAATTCACGTATATGAATTTCTCAGAAAATTGATATCCTTCAGATTTTAGAAGTTAATGTATTTTATGCAATAACTCATTATCAAGTAGCTATAAAATCCACACATCTTACCACCATATTTAACTTCTGTATTCAGTTAACCTTAAAATGCTCTTAAATGAATGTTATTTTCATATATAAATAATATTTAATATTATGGAAATAAGAGGCATTAAGAAATCTACAGTAATCAAGGAATGATAGTTATTTCATTAAACCCCAAAGTGTATTTGTTTCTTCCAAAAGACAAATTAAGGCAGTGTTGAAAAATACAATATTTCTAAATTTTACTAGTATTTAGAAACTAGGGGTATAGCTCAGTGATGGAGAGCTTACCTAGTCAAGTTAAGCCTGGAGTTCAATCTCCAATACCACAATTATTTATTGTAAAGATACTGTACAGAGGAGTTACAGTTACATGAATAAGGTAATGAGTTCATTTCCTATGAACACAATTATTTAAAGTAATAGTGGTCAAGAAAAACTCTTACCCCGGTCTTAAGTATATGGAAAATAGTTGCTATATTTCAGCAAATTTCTACATGGGATTTCTGTATATAAAGATCTAAAAGGACTTCTTTTAATATAACATGGCAAAGCAATATGAAAACAGGCCTTTCTAAAAGATACAAAAGTTTTACATTTTTACAACTAGACAAAGCTGCATAATGAAAGAGACCTCTGCATGACTACTAGGAAATATATGAAATTAAAAAGATGCAGTAAGATCATAAAAATTACTTTCCTACTTTTTTCTGAAGTAAATGTGGTCAATAAATTTAAAATATATACCAAGTTAAGATTTCATTTAGTTCCCTTTGGCTTATTTACAATTGTATTTTATAAAGGTATATTTATATAGATTATATTATATAATATATTGTAAAGGTATGTGAAATATAAAGCCAGCTGTCTAGTACTTTCTGTGCCACACAGCAGTATAATGAAAATAATTATTCCCCCAAAAAAAATCAGCACTTATTTTTAAATTAACAATATTCTAGCCATTTACACATAAATAAAATTGTATCCTTTGAGTTCTGCTGGATTTAAGAAAGAAAATTTAAACTGCATCTTACCTTCTGAATTTGGTAAGAAGCTGATTATAATGATAAACCACAGACTTCGCATTCTGCAACCAGAAGACACCATTATTGATCTCTTTAAATATTTTCTTTGTATTCCTTAATGAATCTAGTTATAAATGCCCAGCTTCATCGAACCCAGCAGTCTGCATCATTGATCCTCATATCTGAAAAAAAAAAATTCATCATTTACTTTATGGTCCTTCTATGTCACAGAAAATGCAAAAATAACAACTATATCCTCACCTTCCTTTCTTAAGTTTTAAATGTATTTTGAGTCTATATCCAATATAGAAGCTGTCCCTATACAGTGGATATTCGGTGGATAATAATGACACATATATCATAAGAATCGTAAGTTCTTCATAATGAAGTTTTTAAAAGACCATGAAAGCTTAGAAAGTCATTTCAAAACAATGCATTTGTCTCTCCTGATATATATGTTTTTGTGAAAGTACACTTAGCTACAATTTTCCTACTGGTGATAACAGGAATATAATCTACTACTCAATTTAGTATGTTTATCAAGTTCCCTTGCAAGATGCTACATAGGTAATGCATTTATTTTTCAAACTACGGCATATAGCTTTTAACATATGGGCGATATTTTTATAAAACGTAGGAACTTCTAAATATCTCATTTTTCTAAACATTACATTTCAAATTGTTGATTATCTTATTATTAATTACTCATGGAAGGAGCAGTGAAATTTCCAAGATTTTCCAATTTCTTGTAGTAAGTATACTTGTTTTCTTTATATTACATATAATTTTAAGATCAAATCTTCATGGTCAAGTCCATTAAACCCAAAATGAAAACCCAAAGGTCATGATACAACTTCAAAGTTGTATCAACCTTTTAAAACCACTGGAATAAGGATATAATAAAGATACTAACCCCAGCTTGATTCTAATTGTGACCAGCCCAGAAAGGTCCAGTTCTCCAAAACAGGAGAGGGTAACAGTAACTTTAGGACTATGAGTTAATCAAGCCTAAGATAACATGAAATTAGGTCATTTGCTGGGTTCTATTCAAGTGTTCTACTTTGTTCTAGGGTAGTATGGAGTCATACGGTAAACATCAGTCTTATATTACATACAAAAATAAAGCTTAGTCTCCTAATCTAGCCAGTAAGTTTAAAAAAAAAAAGTTTTAGGAAGGAAGGCAGGAAGGAAAGCAGGAAGGAGGGAAGGAAGGCAGGAAGGCAGAAAGGCAGGGAGAGAGGGAAGGAATAAATATTAATCTGATGGAGATATAACACACCTCTATATGCACCAATTGGTTCATTCTACTTGATTTTACACAGTTCCCACACCTTAGTCAAAAGACAACATAAGGGGAAACCACAAGTGCTGTGGTAAAGTTCCTATCATAAAATTCAAAGTTTTTACACATACAACTCAGACAAATCATTCTTATCTCATTCCAAAGAACAATTTCTAACATTTACATTTTTGTTTAATGATCTGTTCAGGCAAACAGAAGATCTCAATATGGGGGAAACATGCATTAGCTGCTACAAGTAAAACTGAGTCAGGCTAGGTATGATGGTACATGTCTGTAAATAGAGGCAGGCAGATGATAAATTTTAGGCTAGCGTAGATCGCATAGCAAATTTTCAGACTAGCTTGAGCTACACAGTAAGACTCTGACTGTGGGGGAGGGCATGTATCAGCCTTTGGACTGCTCCATTCTTGGAGCATCAAAATTTTGACTGTCAATGGGTACTTTCATCTCAATGAGCTAATGCCTACAGGCAGAGCTTGCCCACATACACAACTCCTAAATGCATTTCTAGTTTCTTAAGGCAATTCAAGATCAGTCTTTGGTCACTGACTATTGAAAGAGTTCTTGTTTGTGGGAAGAAAGGGAAGGAAGAAATCAGGGACTTGATGTCTGCTCTGTAGGAAACAGCTGCCAAGATAGGAAAACCTCTGTTAGTGAGAGGAAAAGAGGAGGAAACCACACAACCAAGACCTCTCTTGTGGTCTTGGCCAGGACAGAACATTCTATGAACAGATATTTATATACTAAAATTCAGCATGTTCTTAAGATTTAAGAACGTGAAACGGTTTACAAAGTAGTACTCTCCAGTTAACTGTAAGGCTTAGTGGGAATGATTATTTCTGACAAAGAGAAACAGATTCTGAATATATATAATCATGCCTTCTTTTATTAAAATGAAGCTTAAGTTCATCTGCCTGTGCAAAGAGTAAAAAAGTATCAAATTTATTTTTCTCATTCTACAAGCTATAGCTAAATACTTTCAAAACAAATAAAATTATTTCCAGAAGTTCAAACTTTAAGGGCAATTTTGAAAGCTATGTCAAAAGATTTTACTGTTAGGATGCAAATTAAAAACAACCCTTCATTGAACAAATGTTAATGAAAACTGAAATACTTAGCAAACCACAATCAGCTAAGCAAGAATGAATAAATAATCATATATGGTGAAACTAATCCCAAAAAAAAAAAAGCATTGCTCCTAAACCATGTTGGAGCCAATGGATACGAGCACAAATATGGCTACAATTTTCCATCAGATTTGTTTGCTACTATCTGCCAAATGAAGCTCATTAGGAGTAAATCACAAAGCCGGATTTGATGGTGCACATCTGTAATCCCAGCATTTTTGGGAGGCTCAGATAGGAGCACTTTGAGAATGAGGGTACCTGAACTACATAGTGACCCTAAATTGAAAAAGGGAAACAATAACTACTTTGACCCAAAAGTAAAGGGAGAAAAATTATTTTCTCCCAAAACAAAAGAAAACAACTCAAGTATAAAAGGGTTATAAGATGTCCTTTCAATTAAGAGAACATAATATAAACAGTGATAAATACTTAGCTAAATACCACTTTTTTCCAAGAAAATTATAGAGCTTGTTAAGAAATGATGGTGGAAGTGGGTAATACATACTTCATTTCTTAGTAAAAAGTAAAACTATACATTTCTACTCAAACTAATAATGATTATAATCTTAAAAAATACAAGCTAGGTCTAATACACCCTAATGATTCCTTTTTTCTCTTACCATTCAAATAAGATTCAAGCAATTTCATCTTAGTCTTGTTTCTGTGAACCACAAGCCATTGTCTACCAAACCTCTGCCATGATTTTTTTTTTAGATCTAAGTATCCTATTACTCTGTCATGTAAAAGGCAATTAATGCATCATTACTACCAAACTGTCCAAAGCTAAACAATGACTTCCAGGAATATGCTTCAGCACTGTTTATATCCCTACAGCCCTCAATGTTTTATACGCTACTTACAACATACAGTCGCGGCTGCAGTCTTCAGATAGAAACCTGCTTATGTTTATTATCTGCAATAAATATCCTGCACCTTAAACTGTCAGCAAAATTATTTAAAAGGAAATGCCACAAATCAGTTCATTTTCAGTTACATATTTATGTTACATTACCAGGAAATCATTCGTAACCTGGTGATGTGATGTTCACTTGGCAAATTCAGAAAAAGTGGGGGAGAAATAGCACCATTCACATGCCCTTCACAATATAAATAAAGAAAAGAAAATAAAGAAAAGAAAAGGCACTGTTTGATAAGCACCAAAGAAAAAAATGGAATGTAACATTTATTATTATCAATTAGAGGAAAAAAAATTAAAAATTTTAGACCAGGTTAACAACAATGGATAGATTATCAAAGCCTAAATCATTACCAAGATTCCTATTTAAGCTTTATTTCTGATTTCTTCTGATGGACTGGTATTATGCCCAAGGAGCACGAAGAGAACAGGGAGAAAATAAAGCCATCTAAGCATGAGACCTACCAAAGTCACCCATCCTTGTTATTACACACTAATGCTGTATAATATGAAACATTAATGCTCTCAGTAAGCCTAAAATTTTATTCATTAAATATATGTCAGGTCTAAATGAAAACTAAGGATAGCTTTGCAAGAAAGTATTTCTGATATTATTTGCACTACAAAATTATAATCATTATGGAATAGAATTTACTAGCAAAAAAAAAGGGCTGCTTGACTATAGTTTACCAACTCAAACACAAATAAAAATGGTACAACCTCTTCTCTAACCCATGCAAAAGCTTAGAAAATAAAATTTAAATTACAGTCTGATATCAATTTAGCTAAAGCTTACAGTATTCATATTTTCAGAACTACTTCATATGTGATCCTTACAGGCTAGAATTTTCCCTTCTTGTTAACATCAGAGAAAACACCAAGACCTCTGGGAGTTTTCCTTCAGTAAAATGCCAACCAATAATCAGAAAGGCTTTCGTAGCTATAGACATTTCTTCTGGATTTGAGTTTATTTCCTTTCCTTACCAAGGACACCATTAGGAATGGTGCTGGCAATGCTGATAGATTCTACAACCACGTGGCCAACCGTTAGTCTCCACTATCTCCATCTTATTTCTATAAACACAGGTACCAAGGCACTGGCATAAAGTCTAGAGTACTTCAATTAAACTACTTAGTCCCCTTAATAGTCATAAGTGGTCTTACCCTTTACTGGAATTTCTCTATTGTGAAAGAATATATTCTCCTATGAGAGGATTTAAAGGAGCTGAAAGTTAGTTCAAGAATGCTCCCAGTAAATTACTTCTGCTATATGCTGTAATCTAGGAGTCTTGCTGAGCATGCAAAAGAGGCTAGTAGCTGGACACCCGGGGCACAGTCCAGGGCAGTCTGCCATTCTCTTCATTAAAATCCATCCAGTGCAATAATAAAAACAGATAACTGTCATTTTTAAACCAATGCAGGGGACGTTTTAAGACTGCATAGACACTCACAATTGAGGTTTCAAAGAAAGAGCAAAGAAAGTAAAATTACATGCCCATTACATGTTACCTAGCAAAAAAACCTTACAGCTTCTTCTACTTTCAATCTAAAAAAAAAAAACCTTAAAATAATCAATATAATTTGTTATTTATTGCTAGAAAGAAATAGAGTACAGTTTTAAGGTAGAAGCTAAGGTTCCTTCTCCAAATTTGGGGAAAATGAGAAGCTGTTTTAAATGACAGTTCTCTTTAATTTTAACAGAAACTGCTCTATTTCCTCTTAACTGTAATAAAGTGAAAATTATCACACACTATTTTTGGAGTTAAATACACATTTTGGGTACTATGATGAGAAACATTCCCTG